GCAGTCGATACCACATTGGGAAGTGGGTTAAAATTGAGTTACAAGATTTGAGGATACAACAACAGACAGCGAGTTAAATAAAAGCGTGTAATAATAAAAACGGTCCAGAGAAGCGGTCTTCACGAATGTTCAGAGGTGGTGGGAGGGGAGGGTCACTTTTGCCGATAAAACATCGTCAGCGCAAGGGCCGCCACACGTTTTTGAACCATTGAGGGTTTGACAGCAGCACGATGATGATTATGGGTGCGGTGGTGTCTTCACCCGTTGTGTATTGTCGGGGATCCCACGTGCAGGGGGCCGCACTAAAGGCCACCAGGGGCCGCACTAAAGGCCACCAGGGGCCGTCAGTGGCTCGCGGGCCTTGCAATGAAGAACGCTGGCCCTGAGCGTGGGCGAAGAGGACTGACGTGGAGTCCTGAAGCACAAACATCCGTCACCCAAGCCGGCCCTGGTGTCGGGCTGCGATGGAGGCCACGCGCCGCCTTCACGACGTTAGATTTTTTTTTACATCGATTTTGCTCATCAGCAGGGAGTTATCGTATTGGCAGATACGTTTTTGGCAAGATAACCAATTACGGTTTGCCTACTTATAATAACGCAGTGCTGTAATTTTTACTTGTAATGCGCCGCACGGAGAAAGAACGACTCGGGAGATGCGAGGAATCACAGACAAGTGCAGTGGCAACGCAGTGAGCCCGTGCCAAATCCCCACCCCAAAGCTCTGCAGTCCTCTATATATGAAGGTGTTACCAGCCGATGAATCACCGTTTACATGTGGGAGGACACCAGAGTACCCAGAGAAAACCCACGCGTGCGAGGGGGAAACGCTCTATCCCATACAGACGACACAAGTGCAGTCAACACTTTGCTGCACCACCTCCTGGTGAGCCAGGGTATGGGCACCTTCTAGACACCCACTGGAAGGGCGCTTCATGTGTGTGATCCATCAACCCCTCCCCTCGACAGTGCTCTACTGGATTAGAGGCGAGTGTGCGGGAGCTGGATGAATCATTGCATCGCGCAACTGCGAGAGATGGGTTGGGGAGGCCTTCGTCCAGCAGTGGATTGACGTGGACGATGATGATCGATGTAGACTCTTGCACTCACAATACATGCATTGAACGGTGCACGTAAAATGTAAGATTTAATTCGTAATATGCCGTTACATGGAGCAGACAAAACTGTCAAATGAGACATAGTAAGAAACAATACCAACGAGATGCCAACAATGAGACAAATAATCCGATTCTTGGAATAAATTGTGACTATTACTGACTGGGGGCAGGGGTGGATCCATTTAAGACTCTTGTTTAATAGAACTCCACAACATGCCAATGCCACTGCCTTAAATGGATTTATATAATAGTATCATTATAATAGATATATAATAGTATCATTTCTGAGATATGAAAGACAATTGCCCGAAAACATTGCCAATTATATTTCCTTTTATGCCAAAGTTGTTGACAAATGTGTTGTGGAGCTTTAGTAATTTTTGCTTGTGCACCACTGCGAATACAGCAGCATCACCAAACAATGCACTGTTTAGGAGATGTTTTTTTTCCAATGGTGATGTGGGAATAACGTGGAATTTCCTTTAAAAAATATCAACTCGGTAAACATAGTTTGACAGTAATCGTTCATAAGTGCCATATTTTATTCTCCTGGAATACTTTGCCAATTATAACTATAAAATTATAAACTATTCGATATTATAATCTTAGCTTTTTCGGTAAAGTAACGTTGAAGGGAAAAATAAAATAATAAAATATATACAACAATAAAAAAAATTCTCACGTTTCGACCATAACACAAACGGTCGTCATGAGGTGTGTCGGTCTGCATTAATTTATTTATTTTTAAACGGTGTATTTATTAAATAAATTAATGCAAACCGACACACCTGATGACGGCCGTTTGTGTTATGGTCGAAAGTCATGAGAATTTTTTATTGTTTTATATATTTTTTATTATTTTATTGTTTCCCTTCAACGTGACTTTACCGAAAGAGCTAAGAATATGAATTACTGCAGTCACGAAAGCTTTAAATCAAAATTTATTCGATATTAGTTCATTTTAGAGGTTAGATTACATAAGCTCCTGTGAAAGAGATGCATTATGGCATTAAGGCATCATGGGATCGTGACGGCTGGTGATGGTGATGGCATGGAGGCGCATTCATCCCGCTTTGGATGCACCAGGGCTCATGAAAAAAAGGTACAGCTTGGAATTATTTTACTGTGTTAATCTACCAATGAAATTGGTAGACAAGGCTCACCTGTTCTGATCCTTAGTGTGTTGGTACGGATGCCAACACACAAACAGCGCGCTGTTACATTAATAAACACGCTGGTAACACATAGCGCGCCAGAAACCAACCCACTCGCAAAATATGCAAATGAAACATTCACAGCACACACGAGGCCTCGCAGCCCATGCCACCTACCGTAAAATGGCCGTAAGTCAGCTCAGCAGTTCTCATCCCACGACTCGCGCCTTCTACCTTTCAAGGGGGTGCCAGTTTGCAGCATCATACCTGTCAACCCATACGGCTTACCCGTATTCTTGTACAGGGAAATCGAGTTTTCAGGTCCATATGGCGTACAGCCGTTTCAATACGGGCAAACTTTGTTTCGTCTATTTCTGTTTCTCTGTTGTGATGAGACTTGGCAGCATGAACATGAACGTTAAGATTTAGAAGGGGCACGGGGTGACCAATAAGGTCTGAATTGGTCTGTAATAAGGTTGGCACCGATAAGGGGTCGACAGGTATGCAAGCATGGACACCGCGCAAGGAGAAATGTCGAACGCGTGCGCGGGAACGCCGGCGCCAAAACACCCCCACAGCGGGCAACATGAAACAAACGCCTTGCCAACATCGCGAGAGACGTGTGCCTGAGCGTACTCTGTGGTATTGTGGCTTTATTAATCTGGGCCGAGCAGGGGGCAAGCGGCCCCAGCGGTCTAAATTAGTGGTGGGGGCCGCCATACCAGAAATGTTGAGAACCACTGACTTGGCGCTGTCTTCATGCCGACGCTTGCTTGACTTGACCGACCGGGGCACCGAGTTGTTGTTGTGTGCACCGGTCTTTATCTTGAATCTTCAAGTTATTTGTAATTAATACCTAATTTAACTAAATATTTACTTGAAATGTGAAGTATAAAAGGCTAAATACAACAGGTATTTCATTTTAGCACTCCCGAAGGACCTGTATAAATGAGCACGTGGCAGAGCGGAAAGAAAATTAGATCAGAAGTGAAGTGGTTCACGATTTGTTTGCATGACTGCGCTAAAAACCTTTTACTGGTTCCCTGTCAAATCCAGCATCAAGTACAATGCCATACTCTTGTCATCTTTCAAGGTCAGTCAGCATATCTCTCCACTCTACTTAAACCTCTGCCCACGGAGAAGTGCCGTGTTTTTCAGAGCACGTCCCGAGATCTTTTTATCGTCCCCCGCAACCAGGACCCGATCCTGGGCGAGTGGCGTTTCTCCGTGGCTGTTCCTGTCATCTGCTCCACAAACGAAGCATTTAAACTGCCTGAAGCTTCAGGCTGGCACACGACGAACTACCAGCCTGCCCTCCGTGCCTTCAAGTAAACAATCAAACAACAATGTGTTTGTTTCGTGATATTTGTGCGAGTTACAAATTGTTTATTATTTAATGGCCGTCGGTCTCGTGCGCTTTGCTGGCCTTAATATTACCCTCTCGTATGTGTTTTATTTCTCTCTCCAAATGTCCTTCCACAAGTGGTATTCGCCAAACATCCCAATGCAGGCCCCTCCTGAAAAGGCAGTCTTTAGACCTGGTGATGCTTTTCTGGGCACACACAGGTCATTGCGATATCAGTAGTCCCCTAACACTGCTATGCCCCAGACATAACTTACAAAGTAAACACTTCACGAGTAAACTGCATTTATTAAATGCAATACAAACTACCCACAGAACAAGACATGTACTGCAGCCGCAAACACAGTACATGTTACAATCATAACTTACATGGTACAACATTTGGACCAATCTTAAAGATTGGAGATTGAACATGATCTTTTTTTTTCTATTTTTGTTTTTGCTCAGGCAACTTGTGTGCATCATGTGCATACACATGTTATCTCCTACAGTGCATTTCACACCTGATAAGATTATCATTTTTGTTTAAAGTGGCTCCAGGTCAGAATGCGAATCATTTAAAGTGACGCTAACGATGCTAATGTTAATCATAAAATAAATGATAAAAATAACATTGTCTTTCATCATGCAGAACACCGGACCATCACGTTTGTGTGCCTGTCCTGGCATCGGATAAACCTTTGATGGTGAGAAAGCAGTTTTGTCAATACGAGATTCCTTGCTCAGTTTGTGCTTTAAAGCTTTCATTCACATTGACTGGAAGCAGTGTTTTAGGAAATAATGATTGCCACGGGCGTACTGTGCCAATCAATACGGCACGTTATATGTCTAAATCACATCGCTCGTTGCCTTAAACGTGCTACTCTACGAACCGCAACAGAAACCATCGCAGCTGTTTTACTTTCAGTCCTTTGGGCCTTGCTCTGGAGCAGCTTTAAGCGCTATTAGTCTTAACTTGACCGACCGCCACGGTGGCTAGGAGATGTTAACTACCTCGCCTGGTATACAGGAGGTGGTGGGTTTGATTCTGACCCTGATGCCTGCTGTATATTTGGAGTTTGCATTTTGTCCCCGTGCTTGCATGGATTTTTTATCCGGGTCCTCCGTTTTTTCCCTCCACAATTAGAATCAATGTGCATTTAGAGTATTTGGCTGCTATGAATTTCCACGTGATAAGCCACTTCGTTGAGCTATTATGTGGCAAAGTCGCTTCTGAAAAAGAGCTATATAGTAAAGTGGGCCTTACCTGGTAAAAACAAACAAAAAAGTTTCATTTACAATAATCGAAAGGGCCACGGAGCCCAGCCATTCGAAGGATTGAAGCCTCATGCTTTGTCAAGTCACATGGGTGCAACGCCAAACATTTACTCTGATGATGCTGCAAAACTAATTCCAGCCACTGGTATTACAATAGTACCCCTGCTTTAAATATACATTTTTTTAAATCATGTGTGTGCTATCCACCAAGCCAATACGGTTTAATACATGCTCTCTTTCAGTTTTATAATTGATTGAAAATGCCAGGATGCACATTTAATGAGCCAATCAGACTAAGGCCTTTGTTTCAAATGTAATTTCACTCCTTAATCTGTGCTCTAGCTTCAGAAGGAAGGACCCTCCTGAAAAAGAGTCATATGACTAAGTGTGGCTTCCTGGATAAATAAGTTAACAAAAAAACAAGAAGCGGATTAACACTTGCCATCATATTTAATAAAAAAAAATGTGTAATTGGAAATATGGGCCGACAGAAATCTGAACCGATGTGACATTGTTCGTGGAAATGCTAGCGTTTGTAAGCCACTGACCTATTCACCTTAAGGCCTAAACCTAACACAATTCAAGGCAACTAAGGCACATAAAAGCAGAGAGGTGTGGCTTAGCCTTAGACAGAAAATCCATTGGGAAGGAAGAGCCTGTGGAGGAGGGACTCCGACAGGCAGCATCAAAGGGACCTGGTTAAAAAGGGAAGGCTGAGACCAGCGGTTCTCAACCTTCCTCAAGACTGCGAAGCTATTAGCGTCGCTTTCGCATTCCACAGGCCCAAGTACGGTGGGAAGTGCTGTGTAGTGATAAATGTGGAAGCAGTGGCATGAATCTATACCAATGCTTGCGCTTTGTGGACCTCAAGGTTTCTCGCAGAACTACTGGTGCAAAGCAAGTAGGAGAGAGCGTGTATTTGGTTTCACACTTGTGTGTTTGGCTCAAGTAATACAGGGGTCTGGGGCTGAAAGGAACGATGGAGGGGAGGGGCTTGTGAAGAAAGGGAGGGGCTTATGAGCTCTTCTTGACCGTGATGACGAGCGGCCCAACGTTGTCTCCCGTCGTCTCATTGTGTTTGTTGTGTGTCCCATCGCAATAAGGGAACTGCAGAGGGTGGCAGGCAAGGGCGACACAAGCAGGAACAAACGTGAGACACTACGGCTTAAGCTATTATGCAGAACCATTCCACTGTGATAACATGCTCGTTTGTGCTACGTTTCGTTATCGACTCTATACGCAAGGGGCCAATGTACCTTTTCCAACGGAATGTTGTAGCTTTCAAGATTGCCAAGATGCTCAGACAACAAGTTAATAAAAAAATCCCTCTTATCGAATGTTTGCATTGTCCTGTTTTAATATACTAATATTGAACATGTACATGTGCAGCTCTTTCGTCAATCCACTGCTGGATGAGGACCTGCCCACGCTGTGCAGGTTATGGAGGTTAATTGATACATACATCATGCTGGCCAGTGTGGGAAAGAGGACAGGGAGCATAGACATTGGAGCTTAGTACAGTACAATGGCTTTTTCTGCATTAGCCTCTGCTCAGAATATAGCCCCACAGTAGCCTACACCTGTTTATATGCATGGTGAACATCCATCAAAGTAATATCGAGGTTAAAATCTGCTTAGCTTCCGAGATCTGATGACACTGGGTGCATTCCTGGTGATTTTTCATGGGAATTATTTAAAAGTATATTAAGATATAGTAATATGGGTACGTAATAAACAATTGTTACTAACAATACACTTTTTTTATTTTACCACAGACCTATATTGCTCTTTTTCAGAAGCGACCTGGCCACAAATAATAGCTCAACGAGGTGGCTTATCGTGTGAAAATTACTCGCAGAGAAATACTCTAAATGCATTATTCTAAATGTGGAGGGAAAAACCGGAGGAACCAGAGAAAAATCCACACGACAGGCGTTAGGGTCGGGATCGAACCCACGACTTCCTGCACACCAGGCGAGGGAGTTAACATCTTCGCCACCAAATATCCTGTTCTTTAAACTTTTGTACTACTCTGGTGATAAAAATAACTTTGAAGCAATCGTTTATCTGTCAAGGCAACTGCTCTGGGATGCTTCTCAGCAAACCACAACGATACTTCTCAGCAGCCAAATTTTCTACAAGGTTATAGTCAAGAGCGCTAAGTTATAATACTGCTGGCGCTGGGTACACGTCCTTCCAAGAGTACCCTGTGTTTTAGAATAGACCGGCATTGCTTTGCAAACTTGTGAAACCAAAGTCATGTGGGTATTAAGCCCTATGTTTATACCGACCATACTTTTTCAGCACTCTCTATAAAAAACAAGTCCTAAATATCAAGACATCTTACTGCAGATAAAATGGTATTCCTAACCAACACATAAGGATATGATGCACACTATGGATATCCATATTTATTAATATACATCAGCCCTCTGGGGATTATTATTAAACTGGGGAATGTTACATTTTATTTGCCAATTACTCTAAAGTACACATTTGAACTGGTTTTATCATTTATGGAATGTAAAATAGGTCATCTTGGAAAGGTGCTTTTCGACTGATGTCCATTGCTCTGCCAGTCTAACGCAGTTTCTGAATTTGAATTTCACTCGACTTGGATATGAAATGTTAATTTCATATTTTCCCCTCATAATTATTATAAACAATCACGTTGTGCCTAAATCTGTGACCAGGCTGACACCATCAAAGACTGCACAAAGAACCACCACATTAAATTCGATTTTTCGCTTAAATAAGTTTGACTGCCGTGCAACACACATTTCTCGGTAACAGAACATGTGAGGAAGTCTGCCCCCTTGTGTGTCGCTAAAACAGTCGATTGAAGAGATCTTAATACTGTAATAATGCTTACATTTATGGAGTGTCTTTAATTGATGATCCCAAAGACACAGGAGCAAACACTCAGCAAAATAAATAACGATGATATCTGCTTCATATTCTTGGTTCTTTCGATAAAGTCACGTAGAATTCGTGAGAATTGTATTGTTTTAATATTATTGTATTATTTCCCTTCTACGTTACTTTACCGAAAGAACCAAGAATATGAATCCCTGCAGTCACAAAAGCTTTAAATCGAAAATATCTGCTTCGGTTGGCCATTCTCTAGCACGCAGGGTTGATGCATCGCCCTCAAACACGCGGGCTCTCAGACACACGCAACACATCAACTTGTGACATGACGACAGCTCAAGTCAATAAATGCCTGACTGAAGAAAAAGAAACAGACACACACTTGAGTTGACCCTTCCCCACCGCCGCCGCGGCACCACACCTTCTTGGAGCGCCAGCACCGGCAGAACGCAGACTCGTTGCCCAGGTCGGACGTGTCCATCGCATGCACCACCTTGGGGTTCTCCTTGTCGATGGAGGGGTTGATGCGGCAGCACGTCTTGGCGCAGCACCGCCCCGGCGGTGCGCGCCACGCGCGGTAAGCCAGCAGCCCCACGAGCGTCACGCCGCCAACCCCTGCGGCGATCTTGAGCCAGATCGAATCTGCCTCGGTGGGGAGAATCGTCGCAAAGTCAGCCGAACGCCGTTAATCAATGTCTCTTTTGATCTTGTGATTAATTTGCTTTCGGTAAAAGCTGCAAAGGATGTGGCTCCCCCTGTCTAACTTCACGTCAAGTTTGTGAGCCAATTATATTGGCCATGCTGGTGGTTCTACGACATAATTTCTAGGTGTGTAACGTTGTATCACGTGTATCAACTAAAATGTATTCTTATTCCCATAATCCACGTGTGGAATCATGAGTGTGAGAATCTATTAGGACTTTTCAAGATTATATGGTGTTAGATTTAAGGGAATGCAGTAAACAAAACATCAAACGAGACGAAAAAATACAATCAATTATAAAACGAGGAAGTACAATTTATAGAAACATCACCTCTTCAATGTAATCGCAACCCTAACTTTGACAGTGTGTTGATTTGCTAGTGTGGGTTATGAATTACATACCCCTCTTTATAATCACTTTAAATGTTCATTGTTTGGTAGGAGTACAGCTTAACATATATTTAAATAAGCAGGTTGGCACATACCATGTTAAGTATATTTTTTATCAGTCTTTTGTGCTTGTGTCGATTTATCAGCACGTGTAAATTTAGCCTCAATGTGTATGGTATGCATAACCATCACAACCATCAGCACCATCGTAAAGTTCAAGCTTATTTAATTTAAACAGGTGACAATTCAACAAAGCAGGATAGTCTCATTTGCAGGAGTGACCTGGACCACCAAAATGACAAAATCAAATCAAATAAAGTACAACAATGAGGCAAATAGAAATCAGAACTAAAACACAAACACACCACCACTGTGAAGTGGGAACAGATAGGGTCGCTTGTAGAGGTTAGTAATCCACTTTACATATTTTTGCATCTGTCAAAAGCTTCAGATAATCTGTTCCAACTGACTGAAGCATTTATTGCACACATGGTATAAATGTGATATATCCTAATAGAGACCACGCCACTGCACAGATTGTTTGGATTTGCATATACTGTACCAATATTTTTTTTAAATCACATATGCAAAGCACAGGCCCAAAAGGCCCAAACACCAAGTGGCCAGCAACAAACAGCACAATTAAAAGTGTAATGTATAAAAGTTAATACGCGTGTTGAGAATGTGCAAAGTTACAAGAGCCTAAAAAAAGAGATCAAGGGAAGGAATTCCACAGTGCAGCACTGCAAGGGAAGATGCAGAAAGAGAAGGGCTGTGACCTTGCAGTATGGTGGTTGAACACAGTGTGGGTGAGACAACAGTCAGTCTGGTAGACCAAGTCCCCAACTAGGCCTCGGCAAGGTAAGGTAAAAGGTAAAAACAACGAGCTTACCTTTACCCTTCATTTTACCCTTATCCCATACAAATTACCCGATCACAGGGTAATTACTGGGGCACTACTACACATGAAAAAGGTTTGTAACAGGTAAATGCTAGGTAGAGCGCTTTATTCATACAGAATACTCTGGATGATTCCAATCTTAAATGGAGGCCACGGACTGCGCCACGGAGCTTTTAGCGAGCGGTAAACAAGGTATTCACCGGGTAATACTTTGCGCTACCTTTACCCTACCGGGTAATTCTTCCGCGCTACCTTTACCCTACCCTTTACCTTACCCCTTGGCATGTCGATACCTTTACCCTTTCACTCGGTAAAAAGGGTGATTTACCTTACCTTGCCGAGGCCTATCCCCAACATCGGTGTGGGGGAAGCAATGAGTGCAGTTCAAAGGAGCAGTAACCATGACAGTAGCGACATAACCACACAGAGGTCAATGCTGCCTTATCGGTTTTTCATTTCAGAAGCACCATTCACGTAAATGCAATGCGACAACATTTCCCGGTGGTGAAAATAAAAGATGAGTCAAAATGCATACCGTCATCAGCAACCACGATCAAAACCACTGCTGGATGAAAAGTCACGTAGGTAGAAAACAGTCTGCGCCTCAGCAGCATACCATGCTTTTGCACCTGATGATGGATGCTTGTGTTGCGCCCGAAACATCGTGATTTATATTATTTTACACATTCCAATTCCATCGACAAATGCAGAGAGAACACTTCTGCTATGCGACAAATGTGCTATTATGTTCGTGCTAATCCATATTCTTTATAAGCTCTGCAATCTAAATTAGTACCTTATGGTCCAAAGCACCATGAATTGCTTTCTTTCAGAAACTTAACTCGAATATGTCAATTAACTCATGCTGAACAAAAACATTCTAACAGTTATAACGCATTTTTACATAGAATAGTTCAGCGGTAGAGCAAGTGGCTCGCAATCAGAATGTTGTTAATTCAATCCCTGGTTGGGGATTAACTCGGCCATAATCTCCCCGCGATCGATAAAACAAATACCAACTTGTGGTTAAATTAACAGTTTGTCCTAAAAAATTCACTCGCCCCGACCATAGGAATGCGGCATTTCCACCACTGGATTCTGGATCGAAAGGTCCGGTGTAGGGTGGGGGGGTCTGCGTTGGGAGTATCTAGATGTGTTGGTGGGTAACCCAGATCCTCATACCTGGACCTTCCACCCTACCCGTCTAGGTCCCTCAATAGAGAAACCATGTAGCTCTCATGTTCTATGAATACTGCTCTCATATCTGGAGGAGGGGGGGGGGGGCACCCAGTTCCCACCTGACTATAATTGACAGAATTCAACGTGAAGCAGTGAGGTTAAATGATGATCAGGCCAGGCACTCACTGCGGTCACTTCACTCGTCGATGCCCCACCCATGCTGGGCATGACTCGGTCGACCCAGAGCCGTTTCGTCTCGCGCACAACGGCGTCACAATCACCAACGCTGCAGGTCAGTTTAACACGTCGTAGGCTTTCGAGAACAATATCATCCATAATGCATGTTTGTTTTTGGTGGGGGGGGGGGGCGGGGGAGTAAGATCGCGTAAATATATAAATGTGTCGTTAAACACGCCACATCCAATTAGTAAGGTTTGTCACGTAAATAGAACGTGCCAAGTCGTTACTAGTACAGCACACCGGTGTGTTGGAGAACAAAGCCACAACAAACTTCATCAGCAAGTGATGCCATCACATCTACCCCTCTATTAACAGGCGGATTTCTCCACAAATCTGGCTGTCGCCTGATGAAGCTCCTTTTAATTACTGGCGAAACGTCGTACTCAAGATTGCAAATTAGGGGGCTTTGCTCTCCAACACAACGGTTAGTGCTGCACTGGCAACGAATTGACACGTTCTGTTAACGTGACAACCCTCACTAATTGGATGTGTCGGGTGGTGGCGGGTTTAACGACACATTTATATACTGTAGATCACGGCGCGTCTCGACTTTCGGCTCGTTCCCTCGGCACTGATCCACTCTTTTTTTTATTCCCTCCCGTTGTCTCGTTGTCAAAACGTTCTGATGGTAACCTTACTAAATTCCACAAACGCGTTCACTGTTATTCAATGCGGTTGTAATCGTGCTGTTTTGACGCTGGCCGATTCGCGTTTTGGCCCTATGCGCAACTACCGTGGCAAAAAGCTACACATATATTAGACACACACACACAGAGATAACATATCGATAGAGAATCCCTATTAAGTAGCCAAAGACCCCACCGGGGATCCCGACCGTCACCCTCTACGCCGTCGCCCCCAAAGGGAGGGGATTCTAGGCAAGACCGAGGTCTCAGGCGCGGCCTAGTCGCGGCTTGACCCCTGCCCGAAGCGACCGCGCGGCACGACTCGGAACGCTGCGCCGCGACGAAGAAGAGGAGGGAGTGACGGCGGCGACGTCCTCCGTTGTGCTCACCTCGCAACGAATTCATGGCTCCGTCTCCTCCCCTGCCTCGGACGACGCTGCCGATGCTGTCGCCGCTGTTGCCGCTGCTGTTGCTGCCGCCCGGGGCTGAAGGACGCGCGTCAATCGTCTCCCTCGGCACGCGCGATTGGTCGGCGAGAGCCCACGCGTCAGCGCCGAGGGCGACGCCGATTGGTCCGACGAGCCGTTTGTTTACGTCGGCGACGTCGCGCGTCACTCGCCTGGAACGCAACCTCGGAGTTCACAGCGATTGGCGGATGGAGGAGGAATTGGGATCGGATTTAGTGAGCACTTTAATTAATAATTTTATTGATAAACACTCCAGCAGCCCCATAAGAATGCATTCAGATTTGATTAGTAAGCACTTTAATTTACCCACGAGAATGTATTCTAATTGTATTAATAAACACTCCAGTAGCCCCATAAGAATGCATTCAGATTTGATTAGTAAGCACTTTAATTTACCCACGAGAATATATTATAATTTTATTAGCGATCACGTTAGTTAATCAATAATGAATGCATTCTAATTTGATTAGTAAGCACCCCAGTTACCCCATAAGAATGCATACTAATTTGATTAATAATCACTTTAGTAAAACAATAAGAATGAATTTTTATTGTATTAGTAAGCACTCTTTTATTAATTGGTTATATTTAGTGACTTGCACTCCTATCGTTTTTTTTTATTGTTTGCTGTTGTAACTTGCTGACCTGCCCCATACTGGACATCTGTGAAAAAAATAGCTTCATAGCTCATCGGATTCCTCTTGCAGTCTAAATAAAGATTCTGACATTCTCGCACCTGACAATGATTGATGTTCAGAAGCTACTGCAGATGCCAATGTTGAGGTCTGCGAGCCACGATAAGGCTTCAGAAGAGAGTTGGTGTAGGTTTGCTATCCTTCCATTGAAGAAGCACAGAATAGAGCGGTTCACTACATGGCCAATATTTTGGGTTGCATGGCCACAATCGCACTGTGGCTTCATGGAGGAGATGTGCCCATCGGCCTGTTGATGTTCTGACGCGGGTTGACGGTTCCATCACCAGTGTCTCCGCGGGGGAATGTCAAAGCCAGGAGGTGCAAAAGTTTGGGTCTCGAATGAGGTGTTTATTTTGGACGTCCACGTTGTTCCACTCAGCATTCTTTCGGACTTGGGTGAGATTCTAGGATGGTGACCAGAAGTGGGACCGGGACTTGAATCGGTGGCGAGGTACAATTTTGAGGTCTTGGTTGATGATGGGTAGGTTTATTGTCATTGGTAAGAAAACGTGTAAACACTCCCTTGTAGTTTGCGTGTCTGGGTAATTTTTTTTTGGTGGCGAAACGTTCGCCAGAAGAGGGAGTCAGGGGATTGGTGCCGGTTTAATAGTTACGGTTATGATGCGTATTTCGTAATCTAAGTGTGCATCTAGCAGTGTTGTGTAAGAGTTCCCGAACCAGGTTGGAGTAGAGGACTGCACTTTGCCACTGAGTGAGTCAAGTGACAGGTTGGCAGTTCGCAGCACATCAGCTGAAACGCCCCATGTCATTTGTGCAAGTTTCTGTAGCAGGAGGATTCTTCATTTGGTTTGATCACATATCTGTTTAATGTGGGACTTCAAGGACAGATAGTCCCAAATATTGTTTTCAGTGGGGTCATAGCGCACTGTGCTACTTCAGGACACATCAAGGTTGACATTTTATGTATAATCGTTGATGTGAAGAGTACTTGTGGTGGTTTGGAGGGCTTGGTTGGAGTTTTCAACGATTGAAATATACCTCACTTTAATACGTAATTCTGGCAAATCGCCTGATGAAACTGGTTGTAATAACCAGTGAAACGTCGTTCTCAAATGGTAAATGTTGTGGGTTTACTCTCCAAAACACCAGTGTGCTGAAGTAGTAACTAACTGGCACGTATTGTTTACATGACAAGCTTTACTAATTGGCTGTGTAGGGTGGTGGTGGGTTAACAACACATTTACATTTACGCGATCTACCCCCAAAAAACCTGTATTATGAAATATATCTCCAATAACATTATAACAGCTGTCAGATTATTGGCATTGTTTTCTAGAGTTGTGCCCTATGCAACAAGGGCTATGTCATATGCATGCCTGAACTTGCAAAATTATTTACATGGCAGGCCACATATGTATGTTGAATCGTGACCGTGCTATTACGGACCTTTGAAGGGGGCGATTGTTCATAATTCTCTTGCGGCTGTGTGTTACCAGCGAGGTTGAACCCTTAAAGTATGCCTGCTAACCATGGCATTGATTAAGTGAACGGCATCTGATGGTTTTGGACAACTTCAGCAGCAGGCCAGGATGCGAACAGTGTTGTAGGCAGCGGAGAGGGCAATCATTGCTGTGCCAGATTTTTGTTGTGGTTGTTGATGCTGGAAGCCGGCTTCTATGAGGATGGTGAAGGCAACGATCTGTTTGTAGCAGCAGCTACGGCCAGTTCGAAATCCGGCTCGTTCAGGAGGCAGTTGGGGGGGGTGGGTCGATAATGGGGCAAAGTTTGGCGAGCGTGGCACATTCCATCGGCTTGGAGGTGGAGAATAAAGACAATTAATATCGTCATCTAGGCAAATGGACGTCGTTATTTTGAATCCAGGTATGATCAGTAAGTGCTGTAGTTTACCTATAAGAATGCATTATAATTTGGCCAGTAGGTACTTTAGTAGTAAGCACTTTATAGCGCTTACAGCTCAAGTAGTAGTAAGTAAATTTGTGATTTGGTGGTAGAAGTCAGCATTTTAGTGCTTGTGATGGCACTTTAGTGCTCACGACTACCAAATCACTAAAGTGCATACTACTCCATGTGATAATCACTTTACATGGTGTGGCTGTGCTGATCACTTCAACCAGAACTTGCCACATTAGAAAAGTAACCACAAATTACTCATTTGGGATTACAGTATAGTGTACATTGGCAGAATAGTGCCCAAAATGGGACATTTTTGTCAGTATCAAAATAGGAAAAAATAATATTAGGTTTCATTCTTTCTGGCAATAAACTATGTGTTAAGATGTTCAAACACCAAATAGAAACTTTTTGCAAGGAATCATGTCTGCATTAACCACACGTACGGAACTCATTGTGCGTTTCAAAGACAATGCATCTAATATCGGAGCATGTTTGTCTGCATGTTCATCACAAGTACGTGTTGTTAATGCAGGCATGATTCCTGGCAAAAGGTTTCTTATTTGGTGTTTGAACATCTTAACACCTGATTTGAAGCTTTTGTGACTGCAGGAATCCATTCTCTTTGGTTCTTTCGGTAAAGTCACGTGGGTAGAAAAATAATAGATCACGACGTTTTGATCGCAACACAAACAATCGTCATCAGGTTGGACAACCACAGCAAGAATAAACTGCTGAAATAGTTTTTTTCTTACCGAAAGAGCCAAGAGTATGTTCTTGGTTCTTTCGGTAAAGTCACGTAGAAGGGAAACAATAAAACAATAAAAATATAAAACAATACAATTCTCACGACGTTTCGACTGCAACACAAGCAATCATCATCAGATGTGAAAACCACAACAAGAAATTTTGAAAATTTTAGATTTTTCTTGTTGTGGGTTTAAACATTTCTTGTTGTGGTTTTCACACCTGATGATTGCTTGTGTTGCAGTCGAAACGCCATGAGAATTTTATTGTTTTATATATTTTTATTATTTTGTTGTTTCCCTTCTACGTGACTTTACCGAAAAAACCAATGAGTAATTTAAGCAGTCACGAAAGCTTTAATCCTTTATTAATATGAATCCCTGCAGTCACGAAAGCTTTAAACCAAAAGCCAAGAGTATCTTAACACCTGTTCTATTGCCAGAACGGGTAAAACGTATTCTTATTTTTTTGTTATCATAGATTATTGTCCGTTTGCACGCCAGGTCCCGCCACATTGTGCGCACATTGACAGCTGCCACTGTAGGTGCCGTTCAAGTGTTTCTAATACGTGGGTTATCAGAAGTGCATGCTCTGGCGTATAGCACGCGACTTCAAAGACAAATCACTATTAACCTATGCGAATACATCTGCATATCGATAAGTCGGCACTTTAATAAATATGTGGGAATGTTTTGTAATGCGATGAGTGAGCGCGTTCGCCAACCTATCACAATGCATGTGACGTCACAATGGGACGTCACGCGTCATATCCTTGTTCATTCCGCAAAAAAAAATCGCACGTGGCGTGGGAACGTCACTTTCGTACGCACGACGAACGCGTCAAATTGTACGAATGTAAATAATCCTAAAATACGACGTAAATATTCTCTCGTGTCCTTAAATCCGACATTTCATCCTTTGTAGCCCAAACGTTTAAATACGACGCAACAGAATAATTAATTATAAATCGTGCAAATTAATCGAATCGATATCACGCCCCGCGCTGCGGCATGGACGAATATGAATCGAAATGAATCGATTCCCGACGCATACTCGCATTCACGAAGTGCGTGCCCGCAAACGGTAACGTTCGACACCGCGGATCGATTCCTCACCACGAATCGCCGATCACGGAATCACGTGGAGGCCGTGCCCCGCAAATAGTGCGCGCGAGTGCGCGCGCGCGCCACCGCCCCCGCCGGGGGATGGGGGGTGGGGGGGGGAGCCCCGCACTTTTTTCCCCGCGCGGAGGGACGCACGTCACGTGCGTGCGCGCTCGCCCCCGCCCCCGCCCGCCCGCCACGACACACTCCCCCCCCTCCCCCACCGCCTTATAAAAGCGGCGGTGGAGTCCTCCGCGGCGGTGAAGCGTCCGGTCCAAATTCAAGCTCAAGAGGAGTTTTTTTTCCCCTCCCTCCCCTCTCTCCCCTTGGTCGGTAGCGCGGCGCTTGGTGTCGGGCCGCGCCAACGCAGCGACAATAATTCGCCTTTCCGGGCGCGACGGGTTAGAAAGGGAAACGGACAACAGCGGCAGCGTCGTCGTCTTCGTCGTCTTCGTCGTCGGCGTGAGCGAGAAAGAAGGACGCGGGGAGGAGAGAGAGAGATAAAATAATCATGGCTTTGAAGAGAATTCACAAGGTAACAGCTAGCTTAGGGGCGCCGTGGTGACTGGCGACGGCCGCCTCGACTAGTGTAGGCCTCTGCTGGGGTGTTTGTGGGGAGAGTGAGTGGAGAGGTGGTGGTGGTGGGGTGAAGAGGAGCGAGTGGAGGAGGGGGGATGAAGAGGAGCGAAGAGAAGGAAGGAGGGGAGCGTGGCGACGAGTGGGGAGGGAGGTGAGGGAGGGGACGAGGTTAATGGTGACTAAGCACAAAGAGACGTGGGTATGAGGAACAAGCCGAAATGGGGGTATGAATTAAGAGAATGAAGAGCAGGAATAAGGTTTTTTTTTGTGGGGGAATGGGGGGGGGGGTCATGGTACTCGGGCGATTGCTGGGAGTCGGGGAAGAACGAAGTTTAATGATAAGGAACACGAGTAGTGAAAGAGGAACCATGGGGGGGAGGGGGGAGTGATGATGAGATGGTGCGGGTTAATTGAGGGAAGGATGGGAGAGAACGTCGACAAGATAACAGAACGACGTGGTAGGAACGAGGAAGCACGTTGAGGGATTAATAAAACAAAACGCGTCTTCGGGGGGGCGGGGGTGGTGGTGAGGATAAACTGGGAACCGAGTGAGACGAGGATTGCTAAATAAACGAAGCTGCGTTAACGAGGAGCGGCATGAAATAACAGGAACCATGTTTTGCGCTGGGGATGGTTGACTGTGACGTTCCTGGATGACGGCTCCCACTGTTCCTCCCCGCTCCAAATCGCTCTCGTTTTGCTTCTCTTTCCCTCTCCACTTGTCTCTTCTTCCCCTTCCATCTTCACCCCCTCCATCCCCCCCTGTCACGAGAGGTTTGCGCCTCGCGGTGCGTGCGGGTTCCGCATTGACGCCCGCATTAAAGCGCCAGCTTTGGATCGATTCTGCGCCTCCGTTCGGTCATTTCGTTGAGTCCTTCAGCGATATTCTTGACCGGTTCGCTAATTCGACACCGTCGTTCAATCG